GCTCTCGCAATCTAGAACCCCTCTCACTCCTTACCATCAGCCTGCAGCGGAGGTGGGAGAGGTTCCTGCCACCGCCCCTGTGCTCACCAGCCATGAGACCAGCTTCTGACTGAGTGGTGCTCCCCCTGTGGGAGCACACTGACCACCAGGAGCAGCTCCTGCGTTGAGCGTCTGCCCCCTGGTGGTCAGTGCACTTCATAGCGACCAGTTGTTTCACCTTTCGGTCAATTTGTATATTAGGGTTTTATTATATAGGATTATTTTATCTAGTAAAGATGTTCCATGTAAAATTCATAGAAATTAATTAGTACTTTTGAACAGTGGGGTAATCAATGTTGTTATATCCTGAAATTCTTAAATGGAATGTGAAAACAAGCCAATCATACCTGTATAATTATTGCTTAGATTTATTTGTGTCTTTCTTTCAAACTTAGCGAATAAAATATATAGCAAGGGGTGTTGAGCTCTGTGGAGTTTCCAAAACTACAAATACCTCATGTATTGGTGAACTTTTCACAAGTACGAAACGATGAAGGGCAATATTAATTTATAAAAGAGTCCTTGTCAGGTGTTATGGGTTAGCTCAGCGAGATAGACCACCGACTCAGAATTTAAATTTTAAGAGCCTTTATTAAGCTAGCCAGCTGACTGCCAGCCGTGTCTTTCCGATTAGAGCCCACAGCTTGCAGTGCAGACCAAGAGTACAGCAAGACCTTTTATCTGAAACACTACAAAGTATTTTTTTTTAAAAAAAAGAAAAAACAAACTGCAAAGCGGTTCATTAGCCGTTCCTGGTACTGGCAGGGTAAAAAGTTTACATAAAATTTATGAGCAGGGTCACATCTGGCTGGGTTCAATCATAACACATTGCTTTTCTAGCGAGATAATTAGCAATTTTTCTTTCCCATGGTCCCTAACCCTGACACAATCCTTCTCCATATCCTGACACAATCCCTCACCATAAGTCAGTCCCCACTCCCAGCACATTCTGTAACATTCTGTAACCCTTCAAAGGCTCAGTCCCACACCCTGTAACACAGGGACTAGGCATTAGATCATCTAAATGCAGTCAAGAAGAGTTAGCCAAATTAGTGACATAGAAAGATATACTGGCTAACAGAAGATAAAGGAAAGAACGGAAACCTGGATAGAACTTTTGTATAAATTCTTGTCCTTGGTTAGAGAAAGCAGCAAAATAGCTTTATTCTCATTTATATCCCTTTTCTATCATATCAGAATATCATCACATAACTTCTGGAAGAAACTGAGGAGGCATCTCAGTGCTTGCCTAGACCTACACTGAATTTGGACACAGAGACATAGCCATGGCAGACTTAGAACCGAGTCCTAAATGTCCCTGATGTCACCACCTATCACTCATTTTTCTGCAGCGTTGTCGTTTCCTGTAAGTTAAGAATTTGTCCACTTATTCTAATGTATCTTGCTCACTGGACAGTAAGTTTAGATTATGTTCTGAATGAGTAGTCAGAAATTGACTGCTAACCAACTAAATATACTAAAGAATAAACTCTACGGTATCACCACAGCTACTACTAAATTTCTGTATTCCAAATGTGTATTTTACCCCTATACTTAGGTACCCTGCTGTCAACTCTAAATCTAGGTGTGGGGATGTGGTCTTCTTGAATGTAGGGGTGAAATTATAAAGGTTAATTCATGCATAAGAAGTTAATTTTACTCATTTGTTCATTTGTACCCACCAATTGTTTTACCTTTTTTAATATGACAAATTTTAATTCTATTTTAAAATATCCTGAACATGGACAAATGATTATCAACTTACCAGCTAGGGTAACTTGATTTAGAAACAAACAAACAAACAAACAAACAAACAAACAAAAAACCTTGGTAATTCTACAACCAATAATTTTCAAAATGGGTATGACTTGGGATATTTATTTGCTTTCTCTATTAATTAGGACAATGTTTCCTAGAATCAACCTCTTTACTCTTTACATAGCTCTAATTAGGAGAATGGTGAAAAAATAAATTTTTTTATCATAAGCAAATCAGGCAAAGAACTTGTATGTGTATATGCATAACCCATGGACACAGACAATAGGGTGGTGAAAGCCTGGGGCAGGAGTTGGGGATAGGCTAGAAGGGGTCAATGGGGGAGAAAAGGGGACATATGTAATACTTTAAACAATAAAGATTTAATTACAAATAAAATAAATATCCTCACTCCCCGGGTGAGGATTCAAATACTATTACTACCACTACTACTACCACCACTACTACTACTATTACTATTATGACTAATAATAGTAAAGGCAAATTTGATAGACAAAAAAGCAAATCAGTTTTATTCTACTTTAATATTTATAAATGCATTATAAAATATTTTTAAAATGGTAATTCTGATTTGCCATACTAAATTGGTATCAATCTCTTATTTTGACTATTGGACAAGTCGGAGGTAAACTTTCATAAAAGAGCTGAGGATTGTCAATTTAGTTTATATAACTTGCTTAAAAACAAAAAAAAACCTCCCCAAATATTAACATACACTTTTACCATTAAAATGAAATTAGTGACAATTGTGTTACTATAGGATTTTTAGATTTAACATGTTTCCTTACAGTGGTCTAATTCTGAGCATAGAAAATACACAAGATAAAGGGAGTTGAGCTCATTTTTTTATTCTTTCAGAAAATACTTATCAAGAGCCCACAAGTAACAGACACTTTGTTAGGTGTTAGGAACACAGTGTGATCAATTTGGTCAATATTGCTGAAGAGCACAGTTATTAGGTTGGGAGAGAAAAGAAGGCTGAGCAGATGTAAGAATTCTTTCTTTTGCCTTCAGTGAGCTACAAATAATATATTAAACAAACTCAGAAAAATCCAAAGTGCTGAGTTATATAATGAATAGTGGATGACAGTTAAGTCTCTATAGGAATCCTAGTCCAATCTAGAAATATTCTGAACATTCAAATTTTGAAATTCTCTTTCCACCAGATAAAGAAAAAACAGTAAAAAACCACCAGACTACTGTAAAACGCGTCTCACATTGTCCAATATTCATCTGTCTTCCATAGTTGCAACGTTTATATGTCTGTTTGTTTTCTATTAAAGCTCACCTCACATTTTTTTATATAGGACAAACAATAAATATTAAAAATTATAGATACACATAAATAACAATGGAATTCTGAAAGTCATTTTTATTCCCTTTTTTATGTTCTCAAGTATTTCTTTAAAGAAGAAACTGAAGTTCATAGAGGCTCAGAGATTTTTCCAAGCTGTTTTCTTCATTAGCACTTATGGTAAGAAAATCACTATGTGAGCAAATTTGGAGCAGTAAGCAAAAATAGAATGGATTCATTTTTAAAAATTATTACCCATATTTCTAACTCGAGTTATATTTAAGTGGAAACACTAGTATTGCATTCTTTCAAATAGTTCTTTATTTTGTATTAAAAATTGTTTTTGACAGGAATAGCTAACCCAGAGTGCATGCTTATCAATATATTAGGATTGCATGCTTATCAATATATCAATGTATATGAGGATTGCCGATTTAGTTTATATGATTTGCTCAAAAACACCTCCCCAAAAATTAACATACACTTTTACTATTAAAATGAAATTAGTGACAATAACATTCACTCTTCCTTTTTTTATAGATTGACTTCTGACACAAATGTAAGCATACACAGCTTCTTGACAAAAAAAATCCCATAATATCAAGATAAACCTACCTGCTCCCTCTGCACAGCATCTCCCCTGTATAGAAACATTTTTGCTTAGGAAGCAGGGAATAATTTAGCTTTCAGTACAGGTTGCTTTTTGGCCGACTGAAGAGATATGAATTTATTCTTGAATAAGAACCAGACTATAAAAAATCTAGTGGTAAACATGTTACTTATAGAAATATATAAAGAGAACTGCAAAGAGGCATATGCTACCCATTAGAAAACATTAAAGAGTGATTAAATACAGAATATCAAATGCTACATGCTGAAAGATAAATAAATGAAATTGCTGTAAGGCAGTTTTAAAAAATTACAGCAACCATATGTCTCTGATTTTTCAAGACAGTCCTAATTTCAAATACCTGTTCTTACTGTTAAATAATGTTTTGTTTTGTTTTTTAAATAGGGACATTTTAATTTTAATCCAAAAACAATTAGCTAGTAAAAAGTTATTGCCTTGCTTTTAATTTTGTAAATATGAAGCATATTGATAAATTTACAGCAGCATTTATTTTAAATTTTAGTTAATTTATTGGGATGACATTGGTTAAAAAAATTATATAAGTTTCAGGTATACAATTATACAATACATCATCTGCATACTGTATTGTATGTTTACTATGCCAAGTCAAATCTCATTCCATCACCATTTAGCCCTCTGTTACCCTTCCTACTTCTCCCTCCTCCATCCTCCTCCCTCCACCCCTCCCCCCGCCACTCCTCCAGCAACCACCACACAGACAACTAGATAAATCATGTCTTGATTTGTTGTTGTTTTTAAGAGAATTTTGTCACTGCATGAAAAGCATATTATTGAAACTAAGGTGTTCTTGTAGTTTCTAGGACACTAACTTTGATATATCATAGGACCAAACTATACAAAAAATACCAGCATGTTTTCTTTTTTATCCCAACCAAAGAAATAACTCAAGAGAATGGCTACTGTTCATCAAATGAGAACATATTGATAAGATGGAAAGCAGAGTCTTTCTATGCAAAGAAGTTGAAGTTGCCTTTATTAACTGCATACCTCCTTCCTGATTTACTTGACTACATTTTCACAACAAAGCTACATACATTTGAAAAAGAATGGAAACTTTTAGAAAACATTGTCATTCCATATATAATTATTGTCCTTTTCATAATATTGTTTTACCAAAACCATATTAGGTAAAATTCCTTTAGGTTTTGTGAAAGGGTTTCACGAGGTTTCTAAAGAGGTCTATTTTAATGCCACTGGAAAAGAGGATAAGATAATCACACAAAACAAGAGACCACATACCAATTGCTGTCATGTAATCCCAGCGCTCAGTGAGGCACATATTGAAGATGAGGTGATCAGATGTTTGCCCTTGGCCAATAAGTGAAATCTGCCTCTCCAATTTTTGGCAAACGGACGAAGTCCAGCCAATAAGAAACCAAAATACTACCAGGAGTATTACCGCCAGCATCCTCATAACCCGGCCACCAGTCATATATGGAATCCGTTGGGCTGTTCGCGAAAGAAACACTTTCAAAACCCTAGAAAAGCAAGACATCAAAATGTTAAGGGAAAACTAAAAATGAGTAAAATTCTAAAATACGCTATTTTTCTCAGTGAAGTTTAAACCCATCAAAATCTACTTAGGCAGAGTAGAAAACCAGAAACAGTGTTACTTTTATTTTCACTCAGTTTCACTCTACTTTACCTTCCAACAGCAGAAAAAATATCCTACAGTAGGGACCAGTGATTAAATAGATTTGTCTAGAATGGAATTCTTTTGAATATGTCTTTATATTTTAAGAAATATTTTGTTTTTTATAATATTTTTACTGTACTAGTTATATTTTTACTATAAAACATTATAAGGTATTTTTTTTGAAAATAATTTTATATGATGCCCCTCTATAGTCATCTGATCACATTACCAAAAATAAAAATGAAATAAGTTTGAAAACAATGATGGGATATTTAAAATATTAGGGTAATTCAAAAGAGCTCTGCATTAAGTAAGAAGATTTGGATGGTCTATAAGAAATGTGATTTTTTAAATTTTGGGTTGTTTTCTTATATATATATGACTCAAATAAATAGTCAGGATTAAGATGAATTAGATAATATCTAAGAACTGTTCCATCTCTAAAGATTTTGTGAGGACAAAATCTAACCTACTGTAACCTTATTTTAATTTCACTTTCAGAATATTCTTAGCTGATTTTAACTCCCACTCTCATTCTGATATTTTGTATTATAAAATTTACCTGAATAAACCACTATGAGTGATTTATAATACTATGAGGGTATCTATAATCAATTCCCTTAATTCAAAAATAAATTCATTTCCCAAACTTTTCTATTCCCTATTCCATCTCATTCTTTCAACATTTTTTGTGAAGTGTTCATATGAATTCTTCATAAAAACATCATTGTAAATCTAGAAATGAGATAAATGTACCTGAAATAGTCTAGATGTATTATGCTATTTCTCTCTACATATAGACCTTGGTAGCTCTTTCTGAATTAATACAATACATCCAATAAAGATAGTTATTTTCTAGAAGATTCTTGTTTAAATCTTTACCCTTCATTTCCTATGTCTTTCACTCCATTTTTCTTCAGCTAACACTCAGCAAGAAGTTATATCTAAATAAAAACATCCTCAATTTTTCTGTGGAACACTGTCAGAAAGGTATTAGTATCAAATAAGAGGACAACAGAAGATCTCATAAACTACTCCCCATTTAACTAGCTCACTAGATTAGCAATTATTCTTCATTCCCCGTATAGACACAGTGAGCACTGCCAGGCTAGCACTGGCGGCTGAAGTGCTACCTCTCTCTAGTATGTCTCAAACATCGCTGCTCCAACCAGTGCAATTGCTACTTCCTTAGAATTAGTTGCATTTGTCCCCAAACTATACCCATTGTTATCATTGTATTTAATTTAACTAAATCATGAATAAAATAATTATACAAGACTGTTAAAGAAAAGGAGACTTATTTGTATACAATCTATTTTGATTACTTTGATAAGATTCCATAAGGCTGAGTCACTAAAACGACCTGAAAACTTAGAGAAAAGTGAGGAAGTTTTAAGATATTGAGGTGGTCAATAAACATCAAAACCAGAAAGAGGCTATTCTTCAAATGACCTCAAAAAACACTTTAGAGTTCCACTACTACTTAAAGAACCAACAGTGTGAACAGTAAATAACGCTCTGTGGTGATTTATCCTAGAAAGAGAACAATGTTTCCCAAACATCGGACCCAGCGTCAAAGAAGACATCTTATTTAAAAAATATTGATGAATGATTGTTTGTGAGTTTTAAATTACAGTTTCTATACACTTCTTTAATGTCTCTCTCCTTTAAATGTTAACAGTTAATTGACCAATTACTCATCCCATAAAAAGGCTTCTATTATCAGCAAATCAAAAGATTCACAGAACTCTATCTTAGCAATGAGAGAAAATTCTTGGAAAATTAATAGTTGTCAATGCCAATCTTATTTTATGTAGGAGAAACATGCAGCCACTATGTTGTGTTTTTTGTGTGTGTGTGTGTGTTTTTAAAAATCTTCACCAGAGGGTATTTTCCCATTGATTTTTAGAGAGAGGGAAAGACAGAAAGAAATACTGATGTGAAAGAAACACATTGATTGGTTGCCTCCTGCACGCACCCTGACCAGGGTCTGGGCCAGGGAGGAGCCTGCAACAGAGGTACATGCCCTTGACCAGAATCAAACCCAGAACCTTTGGTCCACAGGCTGATGCTCTAGCCTCTGAGCCAATCTGCCTAGGGTTGTGTCGCCACTATGCACACATAATTGTTTCTGGTTGTACCTGGATGAATTCTAAATGTTGAATGACTAGGATCTCAAAAAAGGGATTCTGATCCATTTTTTTAAACCTTCAATATTTTGGCTAGGGCAGGAAAATAATTGTTTCACATTCTACCTTGACTCAATGTGAAATATAATTATAATGAACAAACATTTATATAGTAACAACCATATGCTAGTTATCATGCTAGGCAACATGGGAGGCATAAGTCATGGTTCTTATTTGCCAATAATTGTCAATAGGTAGACAATTCAAAAGCTAATAATTTAACTAGAAATATGTGTGCAAATACCTACCATAATAAACAGCCCTATATGTTGTCTGTAGCTACTAAGTTTAGTAAACTAATAGAATAGATGGTATTATTTAGGCCTTGATGGCTATCAATGGATAAAAATGGAGGAAAGTAGAGAAGACAAAAAGAGATTCTAGTTGAAGGGAAATCACATAACAAAGTAGAAAGCAGAGAATTATAAGTTATAATTGAGGGAATAGTGGGTTGAACCCTTTGGCAAGAAAAAAAGTTCTTTCCTCAACCCACAGGAACTCCTAGGGATTTTTCAAATTTCTGCGAGAACCAACGCTTCAGAGAAGAATCCTTTTCCATGGCCAAGATGTGGAAAATCATTTATTTTTCTGACACTTGAAGATTTTTCACTATCTACATTGAAACGCTAAACCCGAAAGACAGCTAATAGTGGATTTTAAAAATGACTTTAAATTTTTCTTTAGCCGAAACCGGTTTGGCTCAGTGGCTAGAGCGTCGGCTTGTGGACTGAAGGGTCCCAGGTTCGATTCCGGTAAGGGCATGTACCTGGGTTGCGGGCACATCCCCAGTAGATGTGCAGGAGGCAGCTGATCAATGTTACTATCTCATCCATGTTTCTAACTCTCTATCTCTCTCCCTTCCTCTCTGTAATAAATGAATAAAATATATTTTAAAAAGACAAAAACATAAATTTTTCTTTAGAATACCTTAAAGGATGTCTAAACCAGATGAGTTTTTCTTTTGCAGAGGAAATCTATGTGATCCCAGTTTGGTAACTTTTAATCAAGAAATTCCACTTCTAAATTATCAGAAATTTTTATGTCTCCCAGATGACTCTTTGGGTATTTATTGTAAAGTCTGAGAATTCTAGATTGTCATAGATCCCATAATCTTATTTCCAGACAGGAAAAACCAAAGCAACAGTCCTCATGAGTCTCCTGTTATATTGATTTTACTGGCTTTCAAGTACTAGGACACACAATAACACAACTACACTTTGATCTAAGTATTTCAGGATATTGGTTTTTGTAAAATGGAATAAGATGCATTTTTCTAGTATTGGCTTAAAATAAAATGTGAAAATGTTGCTATATCTTTAAACAGTGAATTCTTGTTAGTTAATATGGGCTCACTCCCTAGAAACCAAGTTCTAAAAATGAAATCCTTAGGCATGCATTTATATGAAATACAGCTGTATAAAAATACAATCATTAAACTTCTTATGTAGATTACTTTTCTACTATTTTTTTCATAGATTTTTAGGCTACCATCTGTTCAGAAGTTTTCACTATTTCTGAAGGCTAGCAGTAATATACAAGAAGACTGCAAGAAGTTCCCAGAACTTAATATAAAAAGACATATTAAATTATATATTCAATTCTCATTATTAATAGTAGATAAATTCATGGAAATTATGTTGAAATGATGAAAATAAAAGGGGCAACCCAGGAAGTGGCTGCCACTATATTGTCTATCTCTGTTTTCACTTTCTACGCATATCTGGTTTGAGCTCATAAAACTCCACTGTAAGAACTTGTACTTAGGTTATCAATTACCTCCTTCAAATACAGTATTTAATTGATATTGATATTCATTATTTTACTTAATCTCACTCCAGCTTTTGGCATGGCTTCGGCCATGTGCTTGATTTTATCACATATTCTTGATCTTCTTCCTACTCCTCTGACAGTTTAAGTTTCTATTGCAGATGCCTTTTCCTCAGTCTTCCCCTTAAATGGCAGTGTTCCTCAATGCTCTCCTGAATGTAGTCACCTTCTATTCTTGCTCTACACATTGGGCCCAGGAAATCTCATCTACTCCCATGCTGGTGAGTATCTTCAGGTTAGATCACTCTCCTGAGTCCAAGATCTGTATACGTACTGAAAATCAACAGGACCCAAAATAAAACCTTCCCTCTCGCCCCTCCTACCTCCTCTAACCCACTCTGCTCTTGTGTTACCTGTCTCGATGACTGGTACCATCTAATTGCTCAAAGCAGAAATCTCAGAATGAATGCTGATAATTATCCCTCTTCCATATCCCAGATAATCAAAGAATAATGAAGAATTCAATTTCTACCTCTTAAATATCTCTCAAACCCTTCTATTTTGTTCCATCTTAATGGCACTGCCACAGATCCTAGCCATCAGCCTGCTCCTGTAGTAGCTCCCTGAGTAATCAGTCTCCTTATTAGTCTCACCCACTTCAATCCATACTCTCTAGCGATGCCACAATGATCTTCCTAAATTATGTCGCTCCTGTTTACAGTCCTTCAGATGTTGCTTGCTCTAGGCCAGTGGTTTCCAAACCAGTCGTATCAACATCACCCAGAAACTTGTTAGAAATGCAAATTTTTGGGTCCCAGCCAAACTCACTGATTCAGAAATGTTGGAGGAGTAGGGCCCAGAAATCTTTAACAAATCTGTTAGGTAA